GAGTGCCCATCAGATTTTATTGTGTGTTATCGTGCATGGTGGCATAGCACATGTGGTAGTCACTGAGATAGTTCTGGCTCGGGTTCTGTTCGGTTGTGTGTAAGCATGTCTTAGGGTGGATGTGCTAATTCCAGCCCCGTCATTGTGGTTAGTTACGTAAGCGCCTCTTCCGGTGGAACTCCGGACGCAGCAGAGGTGGTGGCGGCGAGGGACGAGGCGGCGGACGCGGACGCGCAGGCCGACGCGGAGGCGGCGGCGGCGGCGGCGCGGGGCCAGGCGGCGGTCCTCACCAGCTGCTCGTTGAGCTTGGCCGCTCGCTTGAGCTTGGCCTGCCACTGCTTGTTTTGCCGCCGCTCGCCCTCGAGTTCGAGGCGCAGCATCCGAACGGTCTCTGGCGCGATCGGGTCGGCCGACTCGCAGCCCGACTCGGTCTCGCTGACCGGCTCCGAGGAGCCGGGATCGGTCGGCTGCGGCGTCTGGCGCATCATGAGAGGCCGGGCGGGGTTGCACAACGCAGAGACGCAGACGGCTGCCTGCGAGGCCGCGAGCAGAGGGCGTGAGAGGGAGCTGGCACTTTCGAGGTGTTACATTAGCACAAGGGGAGGAGGGGCGGTGCAATTGGATGAGATCACTTGGACGACCTGTCGCAGCCTGAGGGGGCCGTCGAGTCGGCGAATTCGTGGGTTCTCTTTTCTCGGCGGGGTGTCTTCTAGAGAGAGAGAGAGAGAGAGAGAGAAAACCGCCAATGGCCGTTATCCGTTAGTGCGGACGTCGCCGCGGCTCGCCTCTGCCGCGGCGGCTGCTGCGCGCACGCGGCGGCGCCGCTCTCTCGCGAGACGGCTGGCGACGCGGCTCGCCGCCGACGTACGGTGCGCTCGTCCGACGGTCCGCAGCGTGGCGTGCGCGGCGCTGAGCGCCGCTCTGCGAGCGCCTCTGCGCCTGCACTGCCTGTCTGTGTTGCTGCTGGTGGTGGTGGTGCTGCTGCTGCTGGTGCCGATGCTGCTGCTGGCGCGGCGCGGCTGTGAGACTGGGCTCGACGCGCGCGTCGCGAGCGTCTGACGCGGCGGGCGGCGTCGGGCAGGTGCGCTTCTCTCTCGGGTGGTGGTGGTGGTGCTGCTGCTGCTGCTGGTGGTGCAGATGCTGCTGCTGGTGCGGCGCGGCTCTCCGACGCGACTCGATGCGCGCGTCGCGGCTATTTGACGCGGCGGGCGGCGTCGCGGGCGGCAGCGGTGGCGGCTCGCGGGTGGAGGTGGAGGCTGGAGGCTGTGGTGGACTTTGAGTTTATTTCATGGTCGTGTACGGGGACCGGGGGGTCAACCGGGAGGCAGGGGGTTCAACCAGGCGACGGAGGACCGTGGGCCATCGCGGGGACTGCTGCGTACGGAGGACGCGGCAGATAGATCCGGATGGTCTTCACGCCGGTGGGAGGCACCGAGGCGTCTTGGACGCTCAGCTCTACCTTAAGCTCCTGAGGGGCGCGTGGTTGTAACCACGTAGTAGGACTACAGCCCACCACAGACACCCTCCCCCACTCCTCACGTGTGTTCACACCCTCACCCTCTCCTCTCTCCTCTCTCTCTCTCTCTCTCTCCTCTCTCTCCTCTTGTCTGTGCTGTCTGCCTGACTCAGGCACTCAATCTGCCGATGCGTGATTGTGTGTGGGCTGCTCCGAGGGGGCCCTCTGTGCGATCCGACGGGTAGGGGGGCTGTGCCCGGGCGGTGTCCGGTGTGGAGTCCCCTTCTGATCCCGCCTGGGATGTTGGGTGTGAGGTTGTGGCGGCTTCGATCCCAAGGGGGGGAGCTGATCCCACTCAATAACCAACTCTCAGGGGCAGTAGGTGGGCGAGCTTCAGGCACGCTCATCTCGATCGTCAAGACGTTGCTACGCGCGGTCTTCCGCGGGGGGAGCTGCGTCGACGGGTGCGGGACCGCGGCGCAGCCAGTGCCGCGGCGAGGCCTCCGGCTGTTTGCGGCGGGCGGCTTGCTGCTCGCTGCGATGGCGAAAAACTCGTCTCGCCACACGCCAAGGGCTTATGCTCTGGCGAGACGTGAGGCGCATGCGCCCAGGAGGGGAGGGGGCATGTGTAACGACACTGCTAGAGATGCCTTTCGGGGCCCAGAGATAAAACTTCTGTGATGCCATGCGTGACCTAGTAGTGTCCCCAGCTATGGGCGTGTCCACGTTGGAGCCAGGTGTGGTGTGGGCGCGAGAATAGCTCCGCCGTTCATGGAGGCAACCGATGCGAGTCGACTGGTGTGTGTCGTCGTGGTTTCGTATCAAGAATTCTCTCTCTCTCTCTGTCTTCTAGGAGGAATGTGGCCCTGAGTTATGTGTACGCCAACTCAGGGTGTGTGGCAGCCAGCTGGCTGTGTGTCTTGTGAGCTTGTTTGTGTCTGTGTGTCGCTCGTGCGTGTCGTCATCATCTGTCTAGCGTCCACCCATACCGCGTTGGTGTCCAGTCCGAGCCTGGCTGTTCTTCACCTTCCTACCTACCTACCTACTGTCTTCTCGAGGCCACGGCGTGCGATCTAGAATCAGCACACGCGCCTCTGCTTGCATACACTCATACAATGAACTGACATCTCCCATGAGTGCGAGTTAGGGCTAGTAGTAGGCCGCTAGCCTGCGAGGAGGGCGTCCATAGACACCTCACTAGACCCCAGAGAGAGAGAGAGAGAGAGAGAGAGAGAGAGCAACCGCCAATGACCGTTATCCGTTAGTGCGGACGTCGCCGCGGCTCGCCTCTGCCGCGGCGGCTGCTGCGCGCACGCGGCGGCGCCGCTCTCTCGCGCGACGGCTGGCGACGCGGCTCGCCGCCGACGTACGGTGCGCTCGTCCGACGGTCCGCGGCGTGGCGTGCGCGGCGCTGAGCGCCGCTCTGCGAGCGCCTCTGCGCCTGCACTGCCTGTCTATGTTGATGCTGGTGGTGGTGGTGGTGCTGCTGCTGGTGCCGATGCTGCTGCTGGCGCGGCGCGGCTGTGCGACTGGGCTCGACGCGCGCGTCGCAAGCATCTGACGAGGCGGGCGGCGTCGGGCAGGTGCGCTTCTCTCTTTGGTGGTGGTGGTGGTGCTGCTGGTGGTGGTGGTGGTGCAGATGCTGCTGCTGGTGCGGTGCGGCTCTCCGACGCGACTCGATGCGCGCGTCGCGGCTATCTGACGCGGCGGGCGGCGTCGCGGGCGGCAGCGGTGGCGGCTCGCGGGTGGAGGTGGAGGCTGGTGGCTGTGGTGGACTTTGAGTTTATTTCATGGTCGTGTACGGGGACCGGGGGGTCAACCGGGAGGCAGGGGGTTCAACCAGGCGACGGCGGACCGTGGGCCATCGCGGGGACCAGCCCGTCCGGAGGACGCACTGGGTAGATCCGGATGGTCTCACGCCGGTGGGAGGCACCGAGGCGTCTTGGACGCTCAGCTCTACCTTGAGCTCCTGAGGAGCGCGTGGTTCTAACCACGTAGTATGACTACAACCCACCACAGACACCCTCCCCCACTCCTCACGTGTGTTCACACCCTCACCCTCTCCTCTCTCCTCTCTCTCTCTCTCTCTCTCCTCTCTCTCCTCTTGTCTGTGCTGTCTGCCTGACTCAGGCACTCAATCTGCCGATGCGTGATTGTGTGTGGGCTGCTCCGAGGGGGCCCTCTGTGCGATCCGACGGGTAGGGGGGCTGTGCCCGGGCGGTGTCCGGTGTGGAGTCCCCTTCTGATCCCGCCTGTGATGTTGGGTGTGAGGTTGTGGCGGCTTCGATCCCAAGGGGGGGAGCTGATCCCACTCAATAACCAACTCTCAGGGGCAGTAGGTGGGCGAGCTTCAGGCACGCTCATCTCGATCGTCAAGACGTTGCTACGCGCGGTCTTCCGCGGGGGGAGCTGCGTCGACGGGTGCGGGACCGCGGCGCAGCCAGTGCCGCGGCGAGGCCTCCGGCTGTTTGCGGCGGGCGGGTTGCTGCTCGCTGCGATGGCGAAAAACTCGTCTCGCCACACGCCAAGGGCTTATGCTCTGGCGAGACGTGAGGCGCATGCGCCCAGGAGGGGAGGGGGCATGTGTAACGACACTGCTAGAGATGCCTTTCGGGGCCCAGAGATAAAACTTCTGTGATGCCATGCGTGACCTAGTAGTGTCCCCAGCTATGGGCGTGTCCACGTTGGAGCCAGGTGTGGTGTGGGCGCGAGAATAGCTCCGCCGTTCATGGAGGCAACCGATGCGAGTCGACTGGTGTGTGTCGTCGTGGTTTCGTATCAAGAATTCTCTCTCTCTCTCTCACTAGACCCCACACACGGTCTCGTCCGTGCCTCGCCGGCCGGCGAGATTGTTAGCGGAGCGGTCTGCTCTAGCCTAGCACGTTACTTCCTGTCGTCTGTTGTTTGTTGTGCCCTTGTTTGTTCTCTTGGCACCTTGGAGTGCTGGCTGGGTGGGGGGGGCGACAGGGAGGATGTGGCCTTGAGTTATGTGTACGCCAACTCAGGGTGTGTGGCAGCCCGCTGGCTGTGTGTCTTGTGAGCTTGTTTGTGTCTGTGTGTCGCTCGTGCGTGTCGTCATCATCTGTCCGGCGTCCACCCATACCGCGTTGGTGTCCAGTCCGAGCCTGGCTGTTCTTCACCTTTCTACCTACCTACCTGCCAACTGTCATGTCGGTAGCCGCTCTGCACCGCTCGCTGCTGGAGCGCGGTTGATCGCGGCGCCGACGCCGCGGCGGCGCCATCTCGCGCGGCGAGAGACGGCGCTGCATCGGCGCCAAAACAAACGGGAGGTCGCGGCGCGGCCGCGGCAGCAAAAACCTCGACGTTCGCTTCTCGTCTCGTCTTGTCGCAGGCGCACGTACGTACACGGATACGCCTCCACGTACGTACACGGATACGCCTCATGTGCGCCCGCCCGGCTCCGGTCCCAGAGTCCCTTCCTTCGCCCGTCGGGGCGAGCCCTCGGCTCGTCCTGTTCCCTTGCTCGCCTTCCGGGCGTTACCAGACTGCCTCTGCAGTCGTTTCTGATGCCTCTTCCTCGGCTGTGTGGCCTCGACTCCGCTTCGCCTTCGACTGGTACCGCAGCCTCCGAGAGCGTCGACGGCCCGGCCGGGGTTCCCGGGCGAGGACGGCGGCATTGGATCGTGTCGCCTCCCCTCCCAGGGAGGACGGGCCCACTCTCCCTGGTCGACGGGTCGCGCCCGCACCCGCGGTCTCTCTATCGTCCTCGGCTCGCCCCTCCCCTCCGCCGGCTCCTCTTCAGGCTCGGGGAGGCGTGGCCCTCCTCGTCGTAGATCACAGTGGTCCAGCTGCCGCCGCGACGGGTCCACCCCCGGTGAGCTCGTACGTCCCGACTCCACTCGCAGAGGTCGCGTCAGCTCATCTCTCGCCTCCTCCGACAGTTGACCCCAAGCCCCCCCTGGGGCCTGGGGCCCTCCGGCCTCGGCCTTCCGGCTCGCCGGCGGGCCCGTTATTTATCGTATTGCGGTAACTCCCCTCCCCCAGCTCCTCCTCCCGGGTACTCCAGCCTCCGGCGGGGCGGCTCCGGATCCCCCAGGTTATTCCGAGCGTGTCCATACGGTGGCAGCCCCGCCGGCGGCGGGGGTGGAGGCGGCGGCAGGGGTGGCGGGTACGGTGGCGAGGGCGCTAAGAGGTTCCTCTTTTCCGCGCCCCCCCCCGCAAGGCGCGCGATACACACGGTGGCGACCCTCGCGGCCAAAGCGCCTGGTGTGGAGCCGCCGGGGCGGCTCCACGACCCTGCAGCCGTTCCAAAGTTGGTTGAATTCTTTTTGAGTTTAGAATTCTTCTTTCACAGACCGTCCCGTGCCCAAAGAAAGAAAGAAAACAGACAACCCAAGGGAGGGATGTATGTATGTATGTAGGAAGGTGAAGAACAGTCAGGCTCGGACTGGGCCCAGAAAGAAAGAAAGAAAGAAAACAGACAACCCAAGGGAGGGATGGGAGGACGGCACGCCGCCACCACACAGGGATTTTAAGGAGAGGGGTGTGATGCGCTAGCCGTCGCCCACCCTAGGGAGTCTGCCTCTTCCTATCTCTTTTCGCAGTCTCTCGCCGCTTCTCGCTGCAACCTGGGCCCAAAGAAAGAAAGAAAACAGGCAACCCAAGGGAGGGATGGGAGGACGGTACGCCGCCACCACACAGGGATTTTAGGGGAGAAGTGTGGTGTTAGCCGTCGCCCACCCTCGGGCGTCTACCACTTCCTATCTCTCTCCGCAGTTTATCACCAATTCTTGCAGCGACCTTCATGCCACCTCGCATTCTTCTCACTCTCGTCGTTCTCTCTCCTGCTGTCTCTTCCCCTGACTCATCGCTCTCCTCGGCCTCGTTCTGAGACGCCGCTGTCGTCTGCCGATCTCTTGCTCTCGCTGCTTCTCTCGCCTTTCTGCGTAACTCCGCTCTCCTCTCCGCGTATTTTGGTCCCTCGAGTTTATCGAGCATTCCTCGCGCAAGGACCACATTTCTGACTCCCACTGCGAGCATATCCCGCCCAGTGTTGTGCCAGCAGCGTAAAATTCTTCTTTCAAGTTCTCTGCTGGGGCTGGCGCCGCCGCTGCCGGTCGTGGCCGCCGCTGCCGCCCCACCGTTGATGGGTGCGTCGTACCGCCTGCTCGGCTTGCTCGTCTACCTTCTCGCCCTTGTTGCCTGGTGGAACCTATGCGGCTCGCTCTTCGGCGTTGAGCAGCGAGCGTCGCCTGGCGACACCTCGCTTGCAGCACCCCGAGTCGCGAGGGCAGACACGGCAGCCGTGCCGGCCGCCGCCGCGCCTGCGGCTACCGAGGCGGCGACCGCACAGCCCGCTTCCTCCGGCGCGGCATCGACCGCAGCCGCGTCCGGCGGCGGCGGCAGCGGCGGCAGCAGCAGCGGCGGCGGTGGCGGCGGCGGTGGCGGCGGCGGTGGCGGCGGCGGTGGCGGTGGCGGTGGCAGCAGCGGTGGCGGAAGCGGCGGCGGCGGCGGTGCGGGCGGCAGGCTGCACCGCGAGATCTCGCTCGACAACCCCGCGTGCCCCAAGACCCGCCGACCCTTCCACACGCTACTGACCGGCCAGGGTAGCTGCGCCTAGATCCAGAACACGAACCCCTAGATTCATAGCACTTGCGGTTTCCACATCACGTGAGCGGCTGACTCTTCTCGGAACCGTCCTGCCCCTCCGAAGCTTCTCGGGCCCTCCCTGTTGTAGGGACCACCTACAACGGCTGGCAGAGCCGGATCATGTACTATCACTGGCGGAAGCAGCGGGCGACTGATGGGCCGTGCACTTGTGCCCAGCTCTTTCTGTTCTCTATTCTCAGCGTGCCTCTCGTCTAGGCGGCGGACGGAGAGTGCACCGAGATGACCGGCTTCACGCGCGCCCGCGCCTCTGAGGAGGACCGCCGGATGGAGCCTGCCCTGAGCCGCGCGTTAGATTTCTTTTTAGGCGCGTCTGCGCGTCCGAGGGAGGGCTGCCCGATGCGGCGGCGCCGTATATCCCTTCCGTGTTCGTGCCATCGCTCACGCCCGAGGCGCGCCCCGCTGATACAGTGACAGTGACTGACCCTCACCCTCACCCTCGCCTTCGCCCTCGCTCCCTCTCCGCGTCCGTCTCCGTCTCCCTCACGCCCTCACTGTCTCCCTCGCTCCCGAGGTGCTGGCCAAGTACGGCCACTTTGGGGTCCTGAATCGGCCCCACTCGGTGGTCGAGTTCTTCCGGCGCGGCCTCGCAGACCGCGTCAAGGAGAAGTGCGCCACAACGACAGATTGCATCACAATCTCTCCTAATGACAACAATGCCTAATCCTCCGTTACCTTTGATTGCACCGGAGCCCCGAACCCCCCCCCCCCTTCCCCCCTCCCGGCAGGTACGTCCTCGTGGCCGAGACGGACCACGTCCTCACAAAGCCGATGCCCAACCTCGCGACTGACGCCACCGCCGACTCGCCGCCTCTGGCGGCGGCGCACGGATTCGGGTACACGCCGTGCGTCGAGGGCGCTTCTTGTCGCATCTGTCGGTTGATTCCGCGCCTATCCTCTCACAGGTACATGCATGCATCGTCGGGGCACAATTCGGTGATCCAGTACTGCTGGCCGCAGGGCGACTTTAAGAGCTTGCAGGCCGTCGGGCCGTCGCCGCTCATCATCGAGAAGGAGCTGCTTCGCAAGGTGGCCCCTCTGTGGCTCAACTGCTCGTACATTCTGCGAGGGCGCCCCGAGCCGGCGCACCGGATCCAAGATTGGGTGCTCGAGATGTGGGGCTACTCGATCGCCGCCGCCAGCTTGGGGATCCGACACTCTGTCAAGGGCATGCAGATCGAGCCGAATGCGTATGCGGGGACAAAGGACGGGTTCGAGAAGGGCTACCAAATCTTCCACTACACGTACGGCATCGAGTACCGGCTCAACGGCTCTCCCCAGGGCTTCAACACCATCGGCGAGTGGTCGCTGGACAAGAGGCACTACGGAGGCGCCTACCCGCCGCCGAATCTCGACCCGCCGCCCAAGCAGGCCAACCCGTCCACAAAGTGGCTGCATGCGGCGTGGAATGAGGCCATCACCGAGGCGGGCGACACGTGGCCCGCCACCAACGCGATGGGCACCATTGGCTGGAGGCGCGAGGGCGCGACGGCCGACGAGATCCAAAAGTCGGCGCTCGCCTCGGCGGTGGTTGGCTCGCACTGGACGTGGGCCGGCATCAAGACGCTCTCTTTCCTGCCCGCGGGCGCGCCCACGGCGCCGCGGTGCACCCGCCAGTGCCTGTGGACAGCGGCCCTTCACACCGCGACCTGCGAGCAGGCGCGCTCAAGACGCCGTGGGGTGTCGGCAAGTGGGGGATCGCGCTGCGGCCAAAGGGGCTGCCGGCATGCGCCCCTCCGGGGGAGTGCCTGTACATCGACTTTTCGGGCGCCGCTTCCTAGACACACGTCGTCGACACTCTCATCGACGTCCCCGGACACAGCCACGACACTTCCTGGCCTCTTCATGACACTTCCTAGACGCTTCGTAGACACCATCTGCTCGGCGCGGCACCACAGCCATGCCTCGCATCCAGCTGTGAAGTCGCTGCACGTGAACAGGCGCCGCGCACCACGCTTCCTTCGACCTGTCTGCGGGCACCTTCCTGTCGACGCGGGTGGGCGACGGCGAGGAGGTGATTGGCAAAAGGCTGTGAGGGCTCTGTTCTGATACATTTTGCTTGCGTTGAGGTCACATACGCCATCGCGAGCTTTGGACGGGAGTCTCGGGTGTCGGGGCTCTGCTCTTCTAGAGTGCAGTACACAATCAAGATCAGCAGCTCTCGGCGTCCGGATCCGTGAGTGTGATTACGTATTTTATTGTGATATGCCCCGCGGAAGGCGATGTCGAGATGCGCGCGTTCGGCCGCGTTCGCGGCTAGAGCGCGCGCGCGCATACACGGACGACCGGACGTTCGGCGACGACAGAAATACGTAGGGACGAAGCATCGAGATCTGACGAATGTGAAGCTGCGTGAAGGCAGCGGGGCTCACATGTCATCTCTTTTGAAGATTGAGACCGAAGCAGTTTTGGCGGTTATTACGAACCGCGGGCACCCCAGGCAGCGCAACACAAGTCACAACAATGAGAACGACATCAGGCTACACTGCCCCACCACTTTGTGTGTGTGGAGAAATTTACCTTACCTTACCTTACCTTACCCTCGTAGACACTAGAGCCGCCCTGCCGTTGCCGCGGGGAGGCTCTTCAGCTCTCGAACGCGCCTCGCGAGCCTGGTCATCGTGTCGCCCGCGGGTCCTCGAAGCACTATGTGTGCGTCGCCGGTACCCGAGCCGTCGAGGTTATTGACTGCGAGTGTGCCGAACCGCTTGGTCACGAAGCCAGGGACCTATGAAAAGGGGTTTGCCATCCACGACAAGGGAACCGTGGGGCTCTTTTCTTCGCGGAGCCAAGCACTGTGCTCGCGGGGAAGACGTTTAGCGACGTACCGACGACGAGGCAGATGGGCGCCTACAAGATAGAAACCTGTCAAGAGAGAGGACGAAATCTGGTAAGCACGTACGACGAGTCGGGGTGGGCGCCGCCAGCACTTTCCCCACCGCGCGAGCGTAGGCACCCGTCGGCAGAGCTTCTCCGAATAGCGTGACATCCGGCTTGAGCACGCCCTCGCACCCTGGCTGCGGGCCTGCGTTGCGGACACACCAAACCTCGGAGCGATCGCGTGCATTCGTAGGTTACGAAGACAGTGATTGGGCTGAATACGTGGCGAGGCTAGTCGGGAAATAGGAACCGTGCATCTAGGGCAGTGGCAAGTGGGCACGAAGGAGCCGCCCGCGCCCTGCGCCTGTTGCAATCAGGAACATGCGCGACTAGAGAAACACGAAATCGGAGCGCAAGCCGCTGCCGCGGCCTGCGCCTGCTGCCAGGCGACCCACTGCGGGATGACCTCGGCCTCGGTTTCGCAGCCGGCGCCGCACGCCATGCATGTCGCCGAGCTCTGCCGCCTACAGGACGGTCCCGAGAACTACCGAATTCGGCTCCCTGTGGCGGCGGATGTCCACGTCGGATGCCCGTGAAGCTCGATGACGGAGGAGGAGCCCGCCTGATGGGCCATAGCGGGCACAGATTGGCCACAGCCGGCACAGCGGGTGCGTGAGACATGGAGAGAGAGGGGGAAAGGGGGAGGAAAGAAGCAAGCCTTCCCATGCAGCCCGTCAATGTTTTGCGTGATGCAGGCGGTCACGCAGCCCAGCCTCTCCAGATCGGCGATGGCGACGTGCGCCGCGTTCGGCCGCGCGTGCCGGACGGTGCCCGTCTCGAGCAGCTCTTCCTGCGTGCCTCCGTTGATGGCGTGGATGTCACGCGTCAACTCCGTCGCCATCTCCCAGAAGAGATGTGGCTGGCCGACAAAAGTGTTGTACTCGCAGTACACCGCCGGGTCGTATCGAGACCAGAGGCCGCCCGGTGAGCGAAAGTCGGGGATGGATGAGGGTGGCTCGACTGAGCAGCCTGCACCTGTAAAGACAGTCATCGACCTGCCCCCGGCTAGCATCCGAGCGAGCTTCTCAATGCCTTCGTCCGGATCCGGCTCGCCAGCAGCTGGTGCGGCGCTCGTGGAGAAGGCACTGCCCATGCCCGCAAGTCCACCGACTGCCCGGGGCCCGGCCGCTCATGCTCGCGCGAGACCTCGGGAGCGGCTTATTCGTCGATTCGTTTTATTCAGGAGTGTGGCTTTTACGAACATACAGTATGTTGAGGTGACGACAGGGTTTGCGACGAGGAGTGACTCGAAAGTTTTTTGGCAGTACCATGCAGCAACAGTAAACACCCCAGAGCATGCCTCATGCAAACCCGAACGAGAAGAAGAATGGCCGCCGCTGCCCCGCGTGTCTGCGCACAGGTTCCCCGCCCTGCTACTGGGCGCGCTTGCGATGCCTCCGTGACGCGCGACGGCGGCGCATGGCATGCCTGCGGCGAGCGCCCGCGGCACTAACCAAAGAGGTCGGCCGCAATGTCCTTGTACGCCGTCGCACCGTCGTGCACCATGCCGCCCGTCGGGTCGTACTTGCTCATCTTTGCGTCGAACTTGTCCACCACCTTGCTGCCCGTCGGGTCCGCCTCCTGCTGCCGCTGCGCCTCCGCCACAACTCCGGCCAGGTCTCCCTTGGACAGGTGGTGCAGGTGGCTCTTTAGCGAGGAAGCGGTGGTCTCCTCCTCCTCCGCGTCGGCCACGGCGTGCCCGCCCTCTGCCGCGCCGCCCGCTGCGGGCAGCGGCCGGAAGACGGGGCTCCTCTCCCACTCCGCCGTCCCGCCGTAAAAGGAGATGAAGTCCGCCTTGGTGTACGCGCGGCCGTCCGTCACGTCGACGCGCAGCTCCTCCTCCGCCGCGGCCGAGGCCGTCGCGGCCGGCTCCGCCCCCCAGCCGCCGGGCGAGCTCTCGCCCAACGAGGAGCTCTCCCCAGCAAAGGGGGGAGACGGCGGCGGCGGCGGCGGTGGCGACGGCGGCGGCGGAGGCAACGGAGGCGGGGCGGGCGGGGAGGGCGGCAGCAAGTCCGCCGCGACCGCGTCAGTCGCGGCGGAGGCGGTGGCGGCCATGTTTGCGAGTGTGGCGGCGGTGTTCGCTCCGAACCACCTCGCCCACGCGTCTCCCAGCCTCGCGTTTGCCACGTCCGCCCTCTCAAACGCCTGGCTGCTCTGGGCATCCATGGCCGCGGCGGCATCCGCCGTCGCGGACGACAGCTCGCGGCGCGCGAACGCCGGCGGAGTGGGAGGCGGCCACATCGTCCACGGCGGGGGAGGCGGCGGGGCGGGGTCGGCGGCCGACCACGCGTCGATTGCGTCGGCCGCGGCGCTGGCGATCGCCGACGAGACGGCCTGGCCATTGGCGTGCGCGGCAGAGCTGATTGCTGCGCTGAGCTCCCAGCTCGCGTCATACGCGTGGTCGTTTGCGAGCTGGGCCGCGGCGTCCGCCGCCGCGGCAGCCTCGGCGGTCTTTTGGGTGGAGAGGCGGCGCCGGCCGAACGGGTCCGGCAGGCCCCATTCGGAGAGCCACGACGGCGGGGAAGGCGGGAGGCTGACAAACCACTCGTCGTAGAGGTCGTCCATCTTGGCGCCGGCGAGCGTGGCGTCGGCGTCGAAGGCGGCTGAGCCAGCGTCGAGCTGCGCCTCGAGGGCGGTCCACGCCTCGGCATTCGCCTCGTCCGCCAGCCCCGCCGCCTCGCCCGCCGACGCCTCCGTCTTGGCGGCGGCGAGATTGGCGGCGACGCCGAGCGAGCGGCCGTATAGATGCGGCGCCGGAGGCGCCGCCGGAGGAGGAGGCGAAGGATCGAGGGGCGTGAAGGCGGCCGCCGTCGCGGCTAGGTCAGCCGACGCCTGGGCGAGCGTCATCTGAGTGTTGGCGACGGCAGCGGCCGACGCCTTGTCGACGAGGATGATTGTTGTGTCAAGGAGCTCGGCGTTGGCGGTGCCGGCGACCGCCTGGGCATCCTCGACCGCCTTGGCCGTCTCAGCCGAGAGGATGCGGCGCTCGGCAAGTCTAGCACCAGCATCCTCGCTTACAGGAACCGGCGCGCCCGAGACGGCCATCATCGTGATGGCGGAGTGCAGGAGGCAGAAGGTGGTGACGGAGCAGACGCGTGCACTCGAGCGTCGCGTGGCGGTCGAGGTGAAGAAGGCACGGGAGATCCAGTTGCCCGGCCAAGCCGATTGCAGCGACGACAGCATCATCTCAGGTTGCTTGGTCCTTGAGTCGGCCTTGTTATCTTCCGCTTCAGCTGGCGACTTTTCCGAGAAATTTGTGGTTCCGACCCCGCCGACCCGGACCCGACAGGTCCTGCAAGAGACGGGACCGATTTCTTCTTGTTCTTTTTTTCTTTTTGAGCTTAGCCTCCGATGTTATGAAACAACGCAAGGCGGACATGGCATATCGCTCTCGGGCCCACAGACATCCCGCACACTCGCTCGCCGCACACCCGCCGCCCCCGCGCGCGCCCCACCCCGGCCGGGAGAAAGGGGAGTGACAGTTTGGGACTCGCAAGCCCGAGTATGTTGAGTCCTGGCTCAACAACGCAGATAACAAGAGGGGGTGGTCCGGCTCACAGGTCCGGCTCACGCGCCTCGAGCTTCGGTCCCGGGGCTCCACCTTCGGTCCTCCCGGGGCTCCGGTTCTCCCCGATTCGCTCTCTTGCTCGCTTGCCGAGCGTCATACGACGGCCGGTGTGGTCGTTTCCCTCGTTGTTGGTGTCGCTTCCTCCGCTGCCGCCTTTCGTCTTCGCTAGCCTCTCCCAGCTCCACCGGTTCTGAGAGTGTCCGCCGACGTTGCTTTTTCGACTTTTTGGGAGTGGCCGAGATGATCGGCAGCCTCTTCGCGCTGGCGTTGCTCTCGCCTCGGCAGCCGCCAGCGCGCGATGCGCGCGTCGCGTCGATGAGCACCGCCTCCACCACGGCCAGGCCGGCCGTGCCTGCGTCGGCACCGCCGCGAGAGCTGGACAGCGATCACCTCCATCTGCTGCAAGCTACCCTCGACAGCAGCGGCGGCAAGGCAGCCGTGCAACGCGCGGCTTGCGCTGCCATCGTCCGCGTCTTTGGCTGCTCTCCTGGCGACGGTGGTGGCGAGACGGGCCGCGGCGACGGTGCCGGCGGCGGCGGCGCTGCGCCTGGCGACGGCGAGGTGGCTTCGCGGGCGACGGCGGTGCTTCCCAGCGGCGCCGGCAAGACCGTCCTCGCCTTGCGCGTCGCCGAGGCGCTCGCCTCGTCTCTCACCGTCGTGCTCATCCCAGCGCGCGACCTCGTTTCGCAGTCGCATCGCGACTGGGAGCGCTGGCGGTCGGCTCCAGGCCCGCTCGACGGCTTGCGGTCGCTGGCAGTCTGCTCGTCAACGTCGGTGCCACGGGCGGTGCTGCCGCGCTCGACGGATACTGACGCTATTGCGACCTTCCTCCGAGAGACTGAGGGCGCGCCGCGCGTCATCTTCTGCACCTACCACTCTGCGGATCGCGTGGGCGCGGCGTTGCGGGAGGTTGGAGCTGCGGCCGACCTGCTGGTGTGTGACGAGGCGCACCGCTGCACGGGACGGACGAGCAAGCGGTTTGCGAGGCCGCTCTTTGACGAGTTTCTTCCCGCCCGCCGCCGCCTCTTCCTCACCGCCACGCCCAAGCTCATCGGCGAGAAGCGCGACGCAGACGGAGCCCTCATCCCGGCCGGATCGATGGACGACGAGAGCCTTTTTGGGCGGCATGTTTACCGGCTAAGCTACGGCGAGGCGGTACGACTCGGGGTAGTGTCGCCGCTCAAGCTCGTCTTTCTGGACGTGGCCGACAGGTATGCAGCGTGGGCGGCCGGTCGCGTGTCCGACTCTGACACGGACGACTCGGACTTGGTCGCGCTCTGCCTCGCCATGCTCGACTGCCGCAGGAGCTACGGCGTCCGCACCGCCTTTGCCTTCTCCTCCTCCAACGCCCGCGCTGCTAGGCTCGAGCTAGTCGCGACGTCGGTCCTAGAGTCGGACGAGTTTGCCGTCGGCCGCGTCAACGGGTCGATGCTGTCGGACGCGCGAGAGCGGCGGCTGGCGCCGCTGCGGCGGGCGGGCGAAGCCGAGGCACCGACTCAGCTCGTGACCAACTGCCGCGTGCTTGCGGAGGGCGTCGACTTGCCGTCGGTCGACCTCGTCGTGTTTGCCGACGCGAAGCAGAGCCACGTCGACATCCTCCAGTGCATGGGCCGCGCGTCGCGCGTCGCGCCGGGAAAAGCGTTCGGCTACATTCTCGTGCCGGTCAGCGAGGAGGCGGCCGATGGCGGGGCACATGGCAGGGCGACGGCGGTTTTGAGGGCGTATGCCGAGCAGGACGCGGAGTTCCGCGAAGCCCTCGCTGCGCTCGTCAGCGGCGAGGCGCACGCAGGGGGGCCGCTCGACTACTCGGAATGGCCGGAGGCGCTGCGCAGCGTGCTGCTGCTGCCAGATCGCGGCGACGTGCAGCGCGCGGCGGAGCGGACGGTTGCGACGGTGGCGCGGGAGCTCATCGACCGCTGGGAGCGAATGTTTGGGCTGCTGCAGGCATTTCGAGAGCGAGAGGGGCTCGCCAATGTGCCGAGGCGGCATGAGGAGGATGGGGAGCTGCTTGGCGCTTGGCTCCAGCGCCAGCGCAAGCTTCACAAACATGGGCTGCTGCCGGGAATGCGCGCTCAACGGCTAGAGGCGTTGGGCGTGGTGTGGGATGTGCTGGCGGAGCAGTGGGAGCGTACGTTTGGGCTGCTGCAGGCGTTCCGGCAGCGAGAGGGGCACGCCAACGTGCCGATGCGGCACGTGGAGGAGGGCGAGCAGCTTGGTGTCTGGCTGCAGACGCAGCGAAAGCGCTACCAGGCGCGAGGGTGGAGCGAAGCGGAGCGTAAGCGCAGGAGGGCCAGCGCAATGAGTGACGAGGAGGTGGAGCGGCTTGAGGCGGTGGGCGTGGCCTGGGATGTGCTGGCGGAGCAGTGGGAGCGCATGTTTGGGCTGCTGCAGGCGTTCAAGCAGCGAGAGGGGCACGCCAACGTGCCAAGCGGGCATGTGGAGGATGGCGAGAAGCTTGGCCCTTGGCTGTCGACCCAGCGGAAGCGCTACAAGGCGCGAGGGCTGAGCGAGGCGGAGCGTAAACGCGGGAAGGCCAGCGCAATGAGCGACGGGGAGGTGGAGCGGCTGGAGGCGTTGGGCGTGGTGTGGCAGCGCCGTGGCACACCCACATAGCGGTCGAGATATGACGAGATCCAAAGATAAAAAAAAACTGTTCAGTTTTACGAAAAAGGGAGCTACCTGCTCCGGCGACACTAGGGACTCGGGCCTGATCCCGCACAAAACATCTCCACACACTCTCTCCTCTCTATGACACGACTCTCCGACCTTGGGCTAGATTCCCATATTTCACCACAAGCGCCAAACTGCTTCGCCGCGCGCTGCTTACAGCGTCAAGTGCGGCCCTTAGCTGAGTAGAACTCGAAGTGGGCGTCGAGGGGGCCTATAGTAGAGTGTGAGCCCGCGCGCTGCAAAGCTCGAGTGTGGGCGATGGCGCGAGCTGGGCCATGTACTAATTGCGTGTGACTGTTTCTGCCGTCTTTGAGGGGGCGTGGGCGTAGGAGTGGTGCTCTGCTACCCTTGCAGCCGAGCGCCTTCTCTCAGCTCCATTGCCTCTAGGGGGTTGTGGCCGTGGATTTGGCCCCCTAGCCCCCCTCTCCGAGAGCAGGCCTGTCCAGTCTGTGTGGGTGGGGCGCCGTCGTGGCGTGAATCTTGCCTGCCCGTCGTGGCGTGAATCTTGCCTGCCGATGTTGGGGTGTTGCCGAGGTGGCGTGTCGGGGTGTCGCCGTACGCGGAGGGTAGGCAAGCGGTGGTGGGGACGGGTTCCGGGGCTTTGTCGAGCGTGGTAGTCGCCTCTGGTCTCGAGGTGTGAATGGAGCTGTGTGTCAGCTCTGACTATCTCGCGTGATATCGGCCGCGTTGGCGGTTTCAGCGTGCTTCAGGCGAGGGATTTGGTTGGTGAGGGCGCGGGTGGAACGCGTCCGAGGGATCGCGGGCGCGGGCGAGTGCCGAAGGCGGTGTGGCGCGCCTCAGACCGAGGTCTGTTTGCGCCTGTTTGCGCCTGGTCGCTTGCATAGGGTCGATCTCGGCGGTTGAGTTAGTGTTGGCACCCCGAGTGACTGGCTTGATTGTTGGGCTGAGTGCGAGCCCTAGGGCGCCTCATCCGGCAGGCTGTCACTCGGCGGGGGTGGGGAACGCGAGACGGGGTCCATTTGTGGTTGGGACCGTGCGTGCGGGGTTGGGCGACTCGCAGCCGTGGGTGGGCACTGGGACATTGTTGACGCGCCTGCGGGCGTGCCTGCGGGCGCGTTTGAAAGCGCTGATGCGCCTCCTGCGAGCTATCCGTGGCAGCAGGAGCGCGGTTTTTCGTGAGAGGGTGTGAATCACCGTGTGTGCACCGGGCATTGGTGGATGGAGTGTAAGCGCGCAGAGGCGTGGTGAGAGGAGGGCGGCCATGCAGAGGCTGACTCGGGGATGCCTACTGGGATGGCGGCCGCAGGCTGCGGTGTGAAGGGCAGTCGCCGAACCACGGAGTCAAGGAGAGCCATAGAGCCGAAGAGCCACAGCAGTGGCCCGGCTGCCATCAGCAGCTGCTCTGCGAGATTGCATCTCGCTACTCTCGGTGAAGTAACTCTGGGTACAGGAATTGTATGCCCCTGCTGGCTGTGACCGGGATAGGCCCCCGTTGGCCCGGGGGAGCTGCGGCTCACGCCCAGCCCCCCGCGTGTCGTCGCCGCCATGAGTGCACGTGGAACCGCACAGAATGTGCGATTGGCACATGCTGGACCCGTTACCTCGCCTCGCGGCGAGGTCGGCGCGACAAACCGCAATCGAGCGGGCGCAGCCGCTACGATTGCGGCGGGCTGACCGGCGGTGAGCGCTGTCGCTGCCGCTCCGAGCTTCCCCAGAGTCAGCAGCACAGCAAGCAACCCGTGTACGGCCTCACGCACAGTGGAGGGTTGTCGGCACCTGTCGGCGCCAGTCGCCCTTCCAGCGCAGTGAAGCCGCGCCGTGTGCTGCTGCCGAGCCGCCGCAAGTCGGCTTTGAGGCCGACTTGTGGCTGGCAGTGGAGCCCTGAGCATGCTCGAGGACTGTGCCAGAGTTGAGGTACTGCGGCGTACATTGCTCAACACTGCGAACGAATTTTGACATGAGACCAACGCGCATGCGTTGGTTTGCAGTGACCTCGCCTGCGTCGTGCGACGCGGCGCGGACCAGGTGAGGCGATCGTCCGCCCCGACGGCGGGCCGGACGGATGGGTACGTCGTCATAGGGTACGCGACGATAAAAAAGATTTTTTGAGATCCAAAGATAGAGAGGGGTACCGACTTCCCGATCTAACCCGGTCTAACAGAGGGCAGATTTGGAGAGATCTCGAGGAGTACATACAGATAGACCCTCTAACCATCAGAAAACTCCGACCTGATCGGTCGTACTGACCGCCGACAGATCACAGCCCAGACACAGGCCGACGCGTCTGTACGCGGCCGGCCGGGCGAGAGGCTTGACACGATCCGACCCTGCGACCGTGACGCTGCTGGTCCAGCTATCAGACATGCACTGCTGACTGCTGCCACAATGTGCGACCTGTGCTGGCCCACTTGGCGGCCTTCCCGGTCAGTGGTGAGGCGCAGTTCAGAGCTGTCGATGCACGATGGCGCGATGCCGCGAGGCGGCGGCACTCTCCGACGACGGCAACCTCGCGCACGCCCTCCGCACGGCCAGGCGCGCCCGCGACGAGTATGGGCTCCAGCGCGCCCGCCACGCAAGGAGGGCTGCCGTCGCCTCTCGCCGTGCGCGCGCACGCAAGCGGCGAGAGGCCGAGCAGCTCCAGCGCGCGGAGGAGCTGGAGGAGGCCAAGCTGCTCGCGTCGGCCGTCCGCGAGGCGCAAGAGAAACAGGGCGCGGCGCGCCTCAGGCTCGAGGAGAGCCTCGAGGCGGAGCGGCGTGGGCGGGCGCGGCTCGACCAAGCGGGACGACCCGCCGGCGCCCACCACGCTAGCGACGCCTCCTCCTCCCTCGGCTCGCTCTTCCACTTCAGGGCCGGCGGCGCTCAACAACGCAGTGCGCGCCGGAGCCAGCCTAAGTCGGACGCGCCATCGCGAGAGATTGGGCGGACTAGCCGAAGGATCGCCGATAAGGCCGCCAAGGCAGAGGCGGAGAGGGTGCAGAAAGAGGCGGCGAAGGCGGCGAAGGCGGCCGCGGCGGCGACGGCGGCGGCGGCGGCGGCGGCGGCGAAGGCAGACGCCCAGCGCCGCGGTGATGGGCGGTCGCGGGGGCGAGCTCGGCGACGATCACGATCTCGGCCGGCGAGGGCGCCCTCGGCGCAGGGAGAGGAGACTGCGTCTTCCCGCGAGCCAAGCTGCGCGCCCCGTGCGTCCCCCCCCCCCGCCCGAGGAGGCGCCCCCGCCCGTCTCGAAGGCGGTCGCATCGCCGTCGGAGCCGAGCGGCACGGCTGCCTCGCCATTGCCCTCGCAGCCATCGTCCTCCGGCAGGGCGGCCGCTACAAGACTGGCAGGTGCAAGAACCACAAGTGCTGGCGCGAGGCGATTCGGTTCGTCGCAGTCAGCCAGGAGGGGGCTGGCGCCTTCCTGAATGCGATCCCCATGCGGGATGATATGAAGATGGAGACGTGGGCGATGCGCATTACAGTTCAGCGCCGCCTCGGCCTCCCGCTCGATGTTGCCTGCCAGGCGGTGGAGGCGGGCAAGAAGGCGCCAAACGGCAAGCCACACGAAGAACTCGGCGATGCCGCAATGGTCAACCCGCGTGCGAAGCACGCGACACGACACAAATACCTGCTCAAACGACTCGTCAAGACCCTTCGCTCGGCGTGGGGCATGCTCATCGAGATGGAGCCGACTGCACACCTCAGTTACAGTAACCCAAAACAACCTGACGGGCGGCGGCGAACATCGCA